CATGGGTGTAAGCTAAAAATGTAAACTTTTCTATTGTTTGCATATATAGTGAAGGAAATAAGTATTTGACCTCCTGCTGATTTTATTATTATTATACAGGATTTATATAGCGCCAACGGTTTGCTCAGCGCTCTACAATATAAAGGGAGACAATACAGTAACAATACAGTTCAATACAAGAGGGATAGGAGGGCCCTGCTCCTTGGAGCTTACAATCTAGGAGGGAGGGTTTTGAATGTTTGCCCGCTCACAAAGAAATGATCAGTCTAAAAATCGAATATTCGGTGTATTGAAACACTGAGAGACAGAATAGCAACAAAAATTTCAAAAGAAATGCATGTCTAACAAATTATTTTCTTCATTGTACCTGTACTCTTTGCTCGTGTTTTTACAAACCACGACATACACCTGAGTACAGCAGCACATGACCATTCATGTCATTGGTTGCTGTATGCGGCATTTGGGCTTTTCAGGTGGGGGAAATATGCCATAATTTAATTTTAATGCATGAGCTCAGATGCCTGTGTGCAAAAGACCTTCTACTCATGAGATTATTATTATTATTATTATTATACAGTATTTATAAAGCGCCAATAGTTCGCTCAGCGCTGTACATTACAAAGGGGGAAAGAACATGTGACAGAACAATACCAATACAATGCAAAACATGAGGGGATCGAGGGCCCTGCTCTTTTGAGCTTACAATCTAGGAGGGGGGGATGGTGGCACAGGAGGAGATAGCTGTGGGGGATGGAGTGGTAGGAAGAGTGGAGGAGGTTGGCAAGTTAGCAGGGGGTGGGGTAGGCTTCCCTGAAGAGATGGGTTTTCAGGGTTCGCCTAAAGGAGAGGAGAGTAGGTGATAGCCTGATGGGTTGGGGCAGGGAGTTCCAGAGGATGGGTGACACCCTGGAGAAGTCCTGGAGGCGGGCATAGGAGGAGGAGACCAGGGAACTAGAGAGAAGGAGGTCTTGTGAGGAGTGGAGTGTGCGAGCTGGGCGGTACTTGGATATTAGGTCAGTGATGTAGTTCGGGGCAGTGTGGTGGACAGCTTTGTACATCAGTGTTAGGATTTTGAATTTGATCCGTTGCGCAATCGGAAGCCAGTGGAGGGATTGGCAGAGGGGGGGTGGCGGAAACGGAGCGGTTGGTAAGGTGAATGAGTCTGGCTGCCGTATTCAGGATGGACTGAAGCGGGGATAGCCAGCGGCGAGGCAGGCCAGTGAGGAGGGAGTTGCAGTAGTCGAGTCGTGATATGATGAGGGAGTGGATGAGCTGTTTAGTGGTTTCTGGGGTTAGGAACGTGCGGATTTTGGCGATGTTGCGGAGGTGGAGTCTGCACGAGTTTGTTAAAGATTGGACTTGGGGCTGGAAGGATAGGTTGGAGTCCAGAATGACACCAAGTACTCTGGCCTGCGGGGCGGGTTTGATGGTGGCGTTGTTGGACATGATGGATAAGTCAATGGGGGGTGGGGGGAAGACAAGAAACTCGGTTTTGGAGAGGTTCAGTTTAAGGAAGTGGAGCGACATCCAGTCTGATATGTCGCTCAGCAGGTGTGTGATTCGGGCAGAGACCGAGGGGGTGAGGTGGGGGGTTGAGAGATAGATTTGTGTGTCGTCGGCATAGAGGTGGTAGTTGAAGCCGTGAGAGTGTATGAGTTGGCCAAGGGAGGAGGTGTAGATGGAGAAGAGAAAGGGCCCAAGGACACAGCCTTGAGGGACCCCAACAGAGAGGGGGAGTGAGGGGGGAGGTGGTAGCAATATAGGTAACGCTGAAAGAGCGTTGTGACAGGTAGGATGAGAGCCAGGAGAGAGCAGAGTCTCTAAGGCCGAGATCCTTTAATTGTATCTAAACCCAAGAACAAAAAAGTAATGTATTGCAGTAAACCAGTCCTTAGATGTGGTAGCTGCATTAGTTTTCTTTTTTTTTTCACCTGCGAATAGTACACTTTCTGTCCTAGGATGAGAACTCTCACATACTGTATATTACCTGTGGAGAAACAGGGTTGTCAACCTAGGCTGCTTGCTTCTGATTTAGACTACAGGACACCTCCCCCAGATTTTCATGTCCATAACATAAGGGGAGAAGTTCTGTAGTTGACAGAAGTGAACTGACCAAGGCTGATAATATTGCTTGAGATAACACTGCAAAGTGTGCAGCACAGCACTGGATTTCTGGCGGGACCAACAGGTATATTTTTGCACTTATTGAATAGATAAAACAAAATGCTGTCATTGGAATACTTAACAGGCAAACATAAAGCAAATAAACGTTTTTACGAATTATTGTAGCTTTTACTATAAAGAAAGCTTGATGTGACTTTTATGGCTTTGTAACTCAGCTTTTTATATATTTCTCTTTTTTATTACATGAAAGGGTGTCTATAGCTAAAACTAAAAAAGTCCAGTAGTAGGGATACACCAGTGCTCATACTGAAAATGCTCCAGATAGCTGAATCCGATACTTTGCGGTGCGATTTGTATTAATACAAAATGTATGGACGTAAATTGTACTGCAAAGAGTAGCATTTGACTTGAACAGGAATGCAGTGTGATTCCTGTTCTAATCGCATGCAGTTTCCCTCTGCTTCTGTGTGAACCCAGACCTGTCATAGCCCGAGTTCACACAGGAGCAGTGCAGGAAATCCCTGCAGCTTTCTCTCCTTGCAGGGATGACAGTACGGACTAGATGGCTTTTGGCTTTTGATTGGCCAGCACCGTGATGGGGTGAGGTTTCTCGCATCACTCCTGTGTGAAATCGGGCTATGACAAGCCTGGGTTCACATAGGAGCAGTGGAGAAACTGCATGTGATTTGCATTGTACAGCATTCCTGTTCAAATCGCATGCTGTTCTTTGCGGTGCGATTTTCGTCCATACATTTTTTGTTGCACCGCAAAGTATTGGTGCTCATTATCGGCAAGTACTTGACTGAAAGTATCAGTACTCACCGATGTCGGTGCATCCCTAGTGTCCAGGGCTAATCATGCACAGGTAAGCGCTACATGAGCAGGTACATGCACATGGACACAAATACCTGCAGGCACTGTCTGCCTCCTGTTGCTTTCAGTAGGGCTTCCCGCCACCTGTTTGAAAGTCTGAACCAAAAACTTCCCTGTTAAGCTGGCCATACATTAATCTTATTTTTTTTATTTTATTTTATTTAAAAAAAAAAAAAGGGCTTCCCCCATCCACACATTGGAGATGGCCCTGCTGCCGTATTGTATTGTGACAGCGGAGGGGTCGGAGAGCCGGCTCACTCCCAGCCCAGCAACTCTCAGTTGTCACAAACAACTCCCAATCTCTGTTTATGTTCAGGAGACGGAGGGATGGGATCCCTATCATGTGACCACAGTGGTAGCCAATCACCGTGATCACATGATTAGTGATCACCTCCCGGTGTTAAGACCCAGCTAAAGGGCTGCCAGGAGGGGGGGGGGAGGGGTTATCAGGTTTTAGAGGTTGGGTTTGGATCTAATGTAACCCTCGTCATTGATAGATTGTATTTGATGTCCTTTATAAATACACAAATGTGATATTCCCGCCGTGAGGTCCCCCAGCCATCGTCCTCTGTCCTATAACATCATTTCTGCCGGTTCCAGCCACTCGCATTAAAATATCAGTGGAGAAAGAATGCGAAGTCAATCAGAATGGCCTCAGTGGGACGGATGCGATTTAATATTAGAACGACCCGGCCGCACAGAGGGAGCTGAAGATTTCAGCAATGTTCATGTAACTCATGCTGCTTCCCTCTCCGGAGTCTCTGCTGTGATAAGTAGGTGGAGGTCATTACAAATGCAGCCATGATTACCTCCACGGTATAAGTGCCACACACTACGCCGGGAAAGAGAGCGCCGTCCCCGAGACATAGGAGACACTTCTGGGGGTCAGCCCACCTAAACGGATCTTGTAGTTTTAGGTGGTTATAGGAAGACTGACTCTCCCGCGTACTTATTTTACCGCCCACTTCCTTCATGGATGTCTGTGCTCAGACTATGCAGGGCAAAGCAACAACAAGTTCCCTTTAATGCACTTCTCCCCAGCAGCATACTCCATACTGACTTTCCTTGTACCTCTCCGCCGCTCCGTTCAGCTGCTGATAGGAAAGCATGGAGCTTACAATCTAAAGGAAGGGGGAGGTGATACAAAAGGTGATAGCTGCGGGGGATGATCTGGTGGAGGTGATTCAAGTACAGTTCTTAGGTGGAGGTGGGGTAGGCTTCCCTGAAGAAGAGAGTTTTCAAAGATTGCCTAAAGGCAGACAGGGTGGGGTCTGACTGGACATGCTGTGGTAGGGAATTCCAGAGGATGGGAGAGGCTCTGGAGAAGTCTTGGAGGTGAGCGTGGGAGGAGGTGACAAGGGAGCTAAAGAGCAAGATGTCTTGGGAGGAGCAGAGTGGGCAATTTGGACGATATCTGCAGATGAGGTTGGCGATGTAGCTGGGGCAGTGTTGTGGATGGCTTTGTATGTTGTGATTAGTGTTTTGAATTTTATACGTTGGGTTAGTGGAAGCCAATGAAGGGATTGGCAGAGATGGGCAGCAGTCACTGATCGGTTGGTAAGGTGTATGAGTCTAGCAGCAACATTCATAATAGACTGAAGGGGGGATAACCTGTGTAAATGCAGTAAAGTATGCTTGTTCTACTCACTGGGAAACCTAAGGGGTTAATCCTCCGCACTGTGTAAAAAGGCTGATCCTGTTGATCCTGTCTTCTCTTATCCTCCCCTTCTACTTTCCCCAATCTATCTCCTGATAAAACAGAGCCTTGGGGACAAGCTGCACATGCTCAGTTTGGTGTATACTGCTAGAGACGTTTTTTTTTTTTACTTGGGAGTGTGCATCAGCACAGGGCCAATCATTACTGTCCAGACAGAGGTTTAGGGGTCCTGCAGCCTCATAGGACAATCAGCGGTAAATGAAAACTCCTACAAGCTTTAACCAGTGCTCTGCTGGACACTGATAGAAGTCACAAGACTGCTCTAACTGCTGATGAGAAAAGGTATTTAGCAGTTTATATTTACTAAAATAATTGCATTTCCATGTTCTGTGTACTGTGGTAGACCGGATATAGTGAATGCAGGGTCCAGGGAGACCAGATATAGTGAATGCAGGGTCCGGGGAGACCAGATATAGTGAATGCAGGGTCCGGGGAGACCGGATATAGTGAATGCAGGGTCCGGGAGACCGGATATAGTGAATGCAGGGTCCGGGGAGAGTGGATATAGTGAATGCAGGGTCCGGGGAGACCGGATATAGTGAATGCAGGGTCCGGGGAGAGCGGATATAGTGAATGCAGGGTCCGGGGAGACCGGATATAGTGAATGCAGGGTCCGGGGAGAGCAGATATAGTGAATGCCGGGTCCGGGGAGACCGGATATAGTGAATGCAGGGTCCGGGGAGACCGGATATAGTAAATGCAGGGTCCGGGGAGAGCGGATATAGTGAATGCAGGGTCCGGGGAGAGCGGATATAGTGAATGCAGGGTCCGGGGAGAGCAGATATAGTGAATGCCGGGTCCGGGGAGACCGGATATAGTGAAATGCAGGGTCCGGGGAGAGCGGATATAGTGAATGCGGGGGTCCAGGGCGGATATAGTGAATGCGGGGTCCGGGGAGAGTGATATGAATGGGTCCGGGGAGAGCGGATATAGTGAATGCGGGGTGGGGAGACCGGATATAGTGAATGCGGGGTCCGGGGAGACCGGATATAGTGAATATAGGGAGACCGAATATAGTGAATGCGGGGGGGAGACCGGATATAGTGAATGCGGGGTCCAGGGAGACCGGATATAGTGAATGCGGGGTCCGGGAGACCGGATATAGTGAATGCGGGGTCCGGGGAGACCGGATATAGTGAATGCAGGGTCCGGGGAGACCGGATATAGTGAATGCGGGGTCCCGGGTGAATGCGGGGTCTGAGACCGGATATAGTGAATGCGGGGGGGAGAGCGGATATAGTGAATGCGGGGAGAGTGGATATAGTGAATGCGGGGAGAGTGGATATAGTGAATGCAGGGGTCAGTTTGGTGTATACTGCTAGGACGTTTTTTTTTTTACTTGGGAGTGTGCATCAGCACAGGGCCAATCATTACTGTCCAGACAGAGGTTTAGGGGTCCTGCAGCCTCATAGGACAATCAGCGGTAAATGAAAACTCCTACAAGCTTTAACCAGTGCTCTGCTGGACACTGATAGAAGTCAAAGACTGCTCTAACTGGATGAGAAAAGGTATTTAGCAGTTTATATTTACTAAAATAATTGCATTTCCATGTTCTGTGTACTGTGGTAGACCGGATATAGTGAATGCAGGGTCCAGGGAGACCAGATATAGTGAATGCAGGGTCCGGGGAGACCGGATATAGTGAATGCAGGGTCCGGGGAGACCGGATATAGTGAATGCAGGGTCCGGGGAGACCGGATATAGTGAATGCAGGGTCCGGGGAGAGTGGATATAGTGAATGCAGGGTCCGGGAGAGCGGATATAGTGAATGCAGGGTCCGGGGAGAGCGGATATAGTGAATGCAGGGTCCGGGGAGACCGGATATAGTGAATGCAGGGTCCGGGGAGACCGGGTGAATGCAGGGTCCGGGAGAGCGGATATAGTGAATGCCGGGTCCGGGGAGAGCGGATATAGTGAATGCCGGGTCCGGGGAGAGCGGATATAGTAAATGCAGGGTCCGGGGAGAGCGGATATAGTGAATGCAGGGTCCGGGGAGAGCGGATATAGTGAATGCAGGGTCCGGGGAGAGCGGATATAGTGAATGCAGGGTCCCGGATATATAGTGAATGCGGGTCCAGGGAGAGCGGATATAGTGAATGCGGGGTCCGGGAGACCGGATATAGTGATATAGTGAATGCAAGGTCCGGGGAGACCGGATATAGTGAATGCGGGGTCCGGGGAGACCGGATATAGTGAATGCGGGGTCCGGGGAGACCGGATATAGTGAATGCGGGGTCCGGGGAGACGGATATAGTGAATGCGGGGTGGGAGAGCGGATATAGTGAATGCGGGGAGAGTGGATATAGTGAATGCGGGGAGAGGGATCAGGGTTCGGGGAGAGCGGATATAGTGAATGCAGGGTCCAGGGAGAGCGGATATAGTGAATGCAGGGTCCGGGGTTTAATAACACTTGAACTCCAGTCTTATCTTCTGTCTTGCACAGTTTCTCTACTGGAACTCCTCTACTGAAATATCTAAATATCATTGATGTCTGTGGAGGGAATAGTGCTCCATCATTGATGTCTGTGGAGGGAATATTGCTCCATCATTGATGTCTGTGGAGGGAATAGTGCTCCATCACTGATGTCTGTGAAAAGAATAGTGCTCCATCATAGTGTCTGTGGAGGGAATAGTGCTCCATCATTGTGGAAGGAATGTCATGTGGAGGGAATAGTGCTCCATCATTGATGTCTGTGGAGGGAATAGTGCTCCATCATTGGTGTCTGTGGAGGGAATAGTGCTCCATCATTGATGTGCTCCATCATGATGTCTGTGGAGGGAATAGTGCTCCATCATTGATGTCTGTGGAGGGAATAGTGCTCCATCATTGATGTCTGTGGAGGGAATAGTGCTCCATCATTGATGTCTGTGGAGGGAATAGTGCTCCATCATTGATGTCTGTGGAGGGAATAGTGCTCCATCATTGATGTCTGTGGAGAGAATAGTGCTCCATGATTGATGTCTGTGGAAGGAATACTGCTCCATCTTAAAAATCAATATGTGGGCATCTAACTGGGCATGTTGACAATTAGGTAATATAGGGGCACTCATGATAGAACATGGTAACAAATGGGCAGTCATAATGATATATGGTCAGCAAACTGGGAATTTTGACAATAGTTAATGTAATAAAGAGGCACTTGTGCTAAAACATGGGCAACAAATGGGCAGTTATGATATGTGGGCAGCAAACTGATAATTTCAACAATACGTACATAGTAAAGGGGCACTCATGATAGAGCATGGGTAACAAATGGGCAGTCATAATGATATGTGGGCAACAAATATGGAGTGGTGGCAGATTGTTAGAAATCATTGTTTAAGTTGCTCTTGATCTTTTAGTTGAATAATTGGCCGTGTGCTGTTTTTTCAACCAATGTAAAAAAGGCAACAAATAATAATCTTTGCAGTGGGCAACAGATGGGCAGTTGTGGCATGAACAACAAATGTGGATTAGCGATATTGTGTGCATGGCAAAGAATCAGACACGACACTACATGGGCTACAATGTGGACAACGAATGGGCAATGACAGCAATACTTAACAACAAGAGCTCAGTTAGCTGGTGTCACTACTCCAGTCATCCAATCTATGACCCATTGGAAGGAACTCCCAGAGGTCTGCAGTCCCTGTCATGTTATTGGTTAATGTATCATGAAACCCACATCCTTGAAAATTGTCAGTACATGCTGTATTACATGCTGTTCATACTCTCGTAGCCACTATGGGATTCGTTTTCTGGGTTCTGCAAAAAAAACCTGGTTGATCCTGCTGTTCTCTCTCTCCTTCTCCTGTCCTTGTCCCCAATGTAGCTGGGGATTCCGCGGAGCTACTGTTGGCAGCTACTGCACATGCTTAGTGTTCAGTGTATTTCTATCCTATCCCACACAGGTGAGCGCATACACAATGGTAAATGACAGCCCACTCCCTCCTCCATGTCCACTAACCAGCGAAACACAATGGGGGTTGGATATTATATGTAGATTGATGGAGGCTTCAATTCCCTGTTATTCTAAGACATTGGAAGGATATGACACAGTCTGTGACTGACAGAAATACACACACCATGTTATTGCCAAAAATTATAAAGATTTGATTTCAAATATATATATATGACAATGTAAAACAGTTTATTGATATTCAAATAATCAAAGGTCCTCCTGCGCTATAAACGGAAGTAAAACCTAGCCTTAAGCTGCCAACACTCACCAACTGATACCTAAAACAGTGTAAATTACATAAATAAATAGTGTAGCGCTCATAATAAATACTAAAAAATATGTGACCAATTCATAAAATACAACCCTGAAACAATCAAAATTCATACAATAAAACTTCATAGCAATAGTGTAAAAATATATAAATAGTGTCACACTTATAATGAATATCTGTGTTCCATAATGGACACGCGTGTTCACACTCTAAATAAATATAACAAGTGTCTAAAAATGAAATACCGTGCTCACACACCTACTGCATAAAATAATGCCTAGGTATTTATACAACCTTTTTTTAAAGATAAACAGTGCAAAAACAGTGCAAAAAAGTGTCCACTCTTTCAAAAAATTAATCACAACAATGTCCTTTTGGTGATAGATATAATCATGCAATGTGTAGTGGTAATTGACAGATTTGTGATTGTGCCAAAATCTTCTCCTATTGGCGGCTAGATTGCCTCCTCACCTCCTCCCAGTGACCCCTAGGGGCCAACAGGCTTGCAGGATCACCCTGGATCCTTAACTCATAATAATTATAAAGATTTGATTTCAAATATATATTTGTATGACAATGTAAAACAGTTTATTGATATTATTATTTATTTTTACTCTGTATCCCAAAAGCTTGTTTTTTTTTAATTATTTTGAACATGTGACCGACAGCAGAGGACTAGAAGCTCCTCTCACTGTTTCCCTACAGACAGGCTGGGAACCTGTCATTTGTCCCAGAAGACTGCAGGGAGGGAGGGGGGAGGACAACTTTTGCTTCTGATCACCTAGGTGGTCGCAGTGGAAGTGGGTATCTGCCAAAATCTGGTACCCGCTCCCCAAAGGTGCCCATTCCTCACGGGGAGCGGGGGAGCAGTACTTAAAACGGAACTTCCCCTCTTGGGTGGAGCTCCGCTTTAAGCTGCACGTTTTTGACAATCCCTCTCATCATAGGGTGTGTTCCCTGCAGCACTCATGCAATGTTGTTTGGACATTAAAATTAGTAACAATTTCCTAGAGGGAATGGAAAACATCTGCTCAGAGAGCCAGTCCTGGAAAATATGTCATAACGTGATGTTTTTATAAGAAAAAAAAGCTATTTTGATTCTACTTTCTAACAAACAACAGACAGTCACACACACTCCTGCATTCTTCTTATTGCTACTTATCCTTGTAACTCCATAAAGGAAATCTGCCACAACGCAATCTACCTTTGTGAGAAGTATCAGATGGAATCTGCCAACTCCTTGGTTGCATTCAAGTTCTTGTGCACATCTTCAGCGTCTTGCAGTTAGTGTTTTTGTACTATTACTTCACTTTTCTGGATTCTGTTAGCATTAGCATACATTAAAGCTGGGCTCCAAATGGATAAATACTCAGTTGAAATACACATTTGTGAACTGTCTTCTCTGCCAAGGGATTTGTAATTATGTTCAGCCAATTTTCCAGTGTATGCACCTCTGCCAGACAATGCAGCCAGGAGAGTGACACCATTTTCTCTGTTAGAATTCAACGCTCAGCTAGAATAAGTTCCAGAATCTGTCTTTATCCACTTCAGTACCGGGAACTTTTACCCTCTTCCTGCCAAGGCCAATTTTCAGCTTTCAGCACTGTTGCACTTTGAATGACAATTACTTGTTCACACAAACAGAGCTTTCTTTTAGTGGTATTTAATCACCACTGAGTTTTTAATTTTTTGCTAAATAAACAAAAAAACCAGCCAATTTTGAAATAAAAACATGTTTTTTCTTCTTTTCTGTCATAAAATTTTGTAAATAAATAACCTTTCTTCATAAATTTAAGTCAAAATGTATTCTGCTACATTTCTATGGTGAAAATAACCCAAATTAGTGTTTATTATTTAGTCTGTAGGACAGTTATAGAGTACACAAGCTATGGTGTATATATACTGTTGTGTTCAAAATAATAGCAGTGTGTTGAAAAAAAAGTGAATAAAGCTCAAAATCCTTCTAATAGCTTTTATTTCCATCCACACAAATGCATTGGGAACACAACACATTCTATTCCAAATCAAAACATGAAGAAAAATAGATCAAATTTGTGTTCCTCTAAATAAATTGAAGAAAAGTGAATATTAGACGGTTCAAAAAAATCGCAGTGTTTGTATTCTTCTTTACAAACTCAAACATTCACTATATAAACTGAAAAATGTTTGAAGATTTTTCTTCCCTTTGAATGACTTAATGAATATTTGGTTGTAGTCGCACTGTTTCTGAGAACTGCTGTACATCTGTGTTGCATGGAGTCACCCAACTTCTGGCCCCTGTGATCAGGTATTCCAGCCCAGGATGATTGGACTACATTCCACAGTTCTTCTCTATTTCTTGGTTTTGCCTCAGAAACTGCATTTTTGATGTCACCCCACAAGTTTTCTATTGGATCAAGATCCGGGGATTGGGCTGGCCACTCCATAACGTCAATCTTGTTGGTCTGGAACCAAGATGTTGCACGTTTACTGGTGTGTTTGGGGCTATTGTCTTGTTGGAACACCCATTTCAAGAGCATTTGCTCTTCAGCATAAGGCAGCATGACCTCTTCAAGTATTCTGATGTATTCAAACTGATCCATGATCCCTGGTATGCGATA